AACTGATCAGCGGCTGACTCCAGGAAGCCCGGGGCAGCTGCTCTGCCCCAAACGTCCCCAAGTCAGCCGCTGCTGAAAATGACCAACAGCGGCTGAATTGGGGACGCCTGGGGCAGAGCCAGACTATCGGAAAGGGGGACTATGAGGGATCTGGGGTGGCATCCCCCCACCCCAGACCCCTCATTGCCCCCCCTTCTGATAGTCCGTCATAGCTGATAATCTGGCACCCCCTGGGTCCTAAAGGTGCCAGATTATCAGAAGTTTACTGTATTATAATTTCCTCTTCCATTGAAGTGGCTGAACACTCTCCAATCTCAAAGACTTCAATGAGGTTGCTCAGTACCATACAGAATACTGTTTGGCTAGCAGTGAGTGGTTTATTATGAATTAACACTAACGAAACTAACTCAAATTAAAATTAGACTGTGAAGTAAAACTATTATTAAAGAGTAGACTCAGTTTACACTTTAGATCATGCAGGCAACACTAGCTGATTTATTAAACAGTAATTATCTTTATTTTTAAGTTCCTGTTTTAAGATGGACATGGAAAATACTTAGCATTTTTCTAATGAACTATGCATGTCTCATTACAAAGTTGGTAGCAGAATGTCCTTAGAACGTAGCCTTCCTCGCCCTAAAGACTGAAGTCATTTTTCTAATGTTTCTAGCAAGAATAGCTGGGATTTAGAATATTTCCTGGACACAAGAGACTAACTAGCCGCTCAGTTGGGGTGCCCTTTTTATAATTATACTAATTATAAAGTAAGGAAAATCAGTAAGGAAATGTTGATTGACCATGGTCTTATAAGAGGAGAATATCAGTGGCTTTTACTGTTTATATTACTGTACAATGACCTTGCTTCTCTTTTTCTCTCTCTCCTCCTTTCTGTCCCCTTTCTCCGCTAGAGCAACCATGTTTGAAATTAAAAAAATCTGCTGTATTGGTGCAGGTTATGTTGGTGGGCCAACATGTAGCGTCATTGCACATATGTGCCCTAAAATCAAGGTTACAGTTGTTGATGTTAATGAAGCTAGAATCAATGCCTGGAACTCTGATACGCTTCCAATTTACGAGGTAAACTTGTATATATTATAGGATTTGTCTTTTAATATAAAATATTTTTCTCTGCTTTTACAGTCTCCCCTCTGCCCATCTTTGATTCCTGATGATTGTTCTAGGAGCATCGTACCTCATTCATACAGAATGCTTCTTCAATAGCTACACATTAACCATGTGCTGCAAATAAGGGTTTGAAATTACCACTAGCCACCACAAACTTAGTGCTCTTGGATGCTGGGGAGTGTTTCAGAGATGTCTTTAAGCCCTCTGCATCCTGGTCAGGAAAAAATGTCTACTGTATCCTGTAAATCAGGGGTGGGCAAGTACCGGCCTGTGGGGCCAGATCCCGTCTGCCACGGTTAGCTTCTTGCAGCCCCCCTGCTATATTTACTCGCACAGCAATAGGTACTGGTGATCGCAGCTCTTGTTGGCTGTAGATCACTGTTCCCAGACAATGGGAGCAGTGGGAAGCAGTGTCCTGCTGTTGCTCCCATTGCCCAGGATTAGAGATCTATGGTCAACAGGAGCTGTGATTGCTAGTACCTGTGGAAGTGCAGGTAAATATAGCAGGCAGCAGCCCACCAGAGGCTAACCCTGGTGAATTGCCACCGTGTTATTGCCCACCCTGCTGTAAATAATATAAAATGATTATTTTCTTGGGTCCTGTGTGCACTAAACACAGTTGGCTGCGTCTAGACTGGAATGATTTTCCGCAAATGCTTTTAACGGAAAAGTTTTTCCATTAACAGCATTTGCGGAAAAGAGCGTCTAGATTGGCACAGACACTTTTGCGCAAAAGCACTTTTTGCGGAAAAGTGTCCGTGCCAATCTAGACGTGGTTTTGTGCAAGAAAGCCCCGATCACCATTTTCACCATCGGGGCTTTTTTGCGCAAAACACTTTTTAGGTGTCTGCACTGGCACTCTTGCTCAAATACATTTGCGCAAGAGGGCTTTTTCCCGAGCGGGAGCCGCATAGTATTTGCACAAGAACACTGACAATCTTACATTAGATCGTCAGTGTTCTTGTGCAAATTCAAACGGCCAGTGTAGACAGCTGGCAACTTGCCAGTCTAGACGAAACCAGTTGAGTTAGAAGACCCAGTTATAACAAAGTTTTCTCCTTTGTTACAACAGAGTTCCAATTTATAATGTGAATGTCTGTCCATGTCTCAGGAAGATGTTTTGGATTACTGTGGTTAGGTCCCATCCACACTACAAATTGTAACTGTTGTCAGACAGGGGATCATCAGCCATATTGCAGATGTGTCTCCTAACTCTGTTTTAACTGTAATGCCGCTGAGCTCCAGGAAAGGAGAGAACAGTTTTCTGGGCTGTGAAAACTGGCTGCTGGAGACTGCACTTAACTGTGCTATTCATACCAGTGCAAACAGGCTGTCAACACTTAAGTTAAAAAGGGTGAATTCTTCACTGTCTCCTATACCATTGCAAATGGCTGTGGAGTGGTGAATCAAACTTTCACCCAGCATGCAAGTGACTGTGCAACATACAGGAAAAGGAGAAATCATTGGGAGGCTCATTCTGCCACGCTTAAGTACCTCACTACACAAGCAGTCTTGATTTTTTTGATTGGCATCAAGGTAGCAGAATCTGGACCTATGCTAGTTGTTCACCAGAATCCAATGTTTCTTAAATTTAGGATTTTTGTTAGAGATTTAATCCTTCCTATTAAGAGTCAGATTTATTTTTTAAAATCTTGAATGTTACCCTGATAATCACCAGTGGTATCAAGAGCTTTTAATTTCCTACCCAATAACACTTCACTTTTTTTGTTATAAAATCCTATTTTTAGTAAACACATATACTAATCTCAGTGTCACAGATCTGTTGATATGTAATATTATTGGGTTTTACACTGCAAAAAGACGTCCAGTGTTTTGAATACAAATTACCATTTTTAGTGCTTGGTATTTTAAATATTTTGTTCATTAAAGGCTAGTGCTCTCCCCCTTTCTTGTTATAAATACTAAAATTGATGTGAAAACATGTCAGGGCTCAATATATACTTTGCCCACACTTTTAAATGGCAAAAGTGAATGTTTTTGCTCAGTCATCAAACGCAAGGATTTGCCAAACTAAGATACAAGCTTGTTGCTTGTCTTCTGATGTTGCCTCTGATTATTACCCTTGATGAAATATCAAATACTGGGCAAAATTGGTCTGTTAACCTTTGTTTTAAAAAATCGAAACCATAACCTTTGCCTCTTGTTTCCAAAACTTCATTAAAATATAACATGGTAAAGTTTGTAGCATTTGGATTAGTGAATAAGAATTGTGGGAAGAATTGAAACTAGCTCTTAACATGGGTGAGCAAATGTCTTGTTTTTTTATTAAAACTTAAACCGTTTGAGCAAATTTTAAAACACATCTAGTCTCTTCGTACAAGAAGCACAGCTGTTTCCCACCAGGATTTCTATTGCTTACAAAGAATACCCCAAAACTTTCAAAAATAAGTTCACACAGTAGTGATTTTTTGACCCCTGGCACTTTGTACTCCAGCTGCGATGTAGAAAATACAAGTTAATCCTTCAGTTTCTACATGACCAATATTGTGTCTGAATCCCAGCAAAAATCACAGTTGAAATGTTAAACTTATTCATAATTGGGTTCTGGTGCTTGTTGGGAATGGCTCGGGTTCTGTGGTAATGATTTTCTACCTGAGTTAATTTTTTATTTCTGTTAGGTCAGCTGTCTTGTAAACAATGAGACAGCAAAAAATGTTTTCTGTGGGTATGGTGCAGCTTCTCTACCTTCCCCCAGGCTGAACATTTACCTTGAGGAAAGTTACTGAAAAAAGATCTTTCATGTGTCATTCTTTTGATAGTATTTTCATAAGTAGATGATTTTGTGATTGGGCTAAATTCAGAATTTTTACTATATTATTTAGCAAAGTGGCATTAGTTTCTGTCTAATTAAAACATTTTTGTATGGGGTCCTAATATATGCAATTTGTCAAGGTGTATGAATAACCAGAGACCACATGCAAGTAGGGGAATGTGTTGAGGAAGCATCCCAATGCAATGTTTCTGTGTGAGCTAGGGCTATGGTTAGTTTGTTCTGATTATGATCCTCTGGGAATCCACACAAGTTTTATTTTTTGACAGATTGAAATTACTTTTTAATTTTTTAAATTTTATCTTTATTAAAACAGAACCTTTTGTGGTACTTAAAATAGGGATGTAAGTGACTAGTCGACTACCTGATAAGCCTAGGCTTATTGGGTAGTCGAGTCACTACTCGACTTGTCGTTCCCCCCCCTCTTTGCTGCTTCTGATACAGAAGCAGCAAGGGGGGAGCGGGAGCTGGTTTAAAAGCCTTTTTCTCCACCAGAACTGTTTTGGGGGAGGGGGCAGAGGAGGCAGAGGTCCAGCAGAGGAAACAGTGTGAGCAGGGATTCAAGCAGTCCCTGTTCATGCTGGGTCCCAACTGCTGCCACTCTGCCTTTTAAAGGTAGCAAGAGCCCTGCAGGCATTCAAAATGCAGAGGCACACGGGGATAGTGAGTGCCCCATCCCCTTACCGACTAATTGAGTAGTTGATGGAATTTCCATCTACTAATTAATTAGATGATTAATCGAAATTTAACCTCCCTAACTTAAAGTTGTGTGCTGTCTGAGTATGTTGTTACCTATCTTAACTAAATTTTGATTATTACATACTTGCCTATGTCTTTCTCTAGCCAGGACTCAAAGAAGTTGTAGAGTCCTGCCGAGGAAAGAATCTCTTCTTTTCCACCAGTATTGATGATGCCATTAGAGATGCTGATTTGGTATTTATTTCTGTAAGTAGTTTTCTTGTGTACTTCTATTATTATTATTATTATTATTATTACATTGCTGTGCTCAAATGTGTTTGGGCGGGTGTTCCATTTTTTTTTTACGTGTCCTTTATTTTGTTTGGAGAAGTGATATGGTTCCATGAGGCATAACAGACTTGTGTAGCATTATGCTGTTTTTAGCAGGAAAGTGCGCTTAGCTTTGCAGTGAGGATGATAAAACTTTTAATATTCTTCTTTTGCTATTATTTATCACTCTTTTTATCTTTGAAACACCCAACAAACCTTTGGACTCTATCTGTACACATAACAAGCTTTGTTACTTAGCTCAGGATTTTCTGAAGACACGATACAAAATAACAAAATCTACTAGCATAAACTTCTATTTGTAGCATTCCACTGAAGTGGACAGGACTCATGCAGAAATAGCAGTCCCCTTAGTAAGATTCATTGTAAGATTAGCAAAAAAAAATATAAAAAAAAAAATTGTATAATACTTACATGGATATAAAGAGTCTTCTGACTTTTTTTCCAGTTAATCAGTGGAGATTACAAGACTGCAACATTTTTTTTTATTTTTTAGATCGTGTCAAATAGTGTTCAATATTTTTCACCCTCTTAAAACGCAAGGAAACAGGTTATATTAAATGCATATTTGTGGCATTTTGCAGTGTCAAGTCATGTGCCTAGTTCCATATCCAAAAGAACTATATAAGAAGTAGCCCAGGGCTGCAGGCTAGTTATTGTTCTGTTCTTCAGATGCTTTACAGAGAGTTGTACTTTTGGGAAGAGCTCTTGTTATTCTGTCCCCCTGAAGAGTCTTCTGCATGAATCAGTAAAATTTGATATTAATGCTCTACAGTAATTCCTCATTTAACACTATAGACGTGTTACTGAAAATGTTTGTGCAAAGCGAAAACGTGCTATGCAGGGTCAATTTTCCCATTAAAAATAATGGAAAATGTCGGGGTTGCATTTCAGGTGGTGGTGGCAAAGTCAATTTTTTGTTGGTGCTCCGTTGCCAATGTCAACATTAGATATCTAGCAACACAAGATAGCTAGCAATACAAGTCGCTGCAGTTTGTTAAAACACGAAGATAAACACATGAGTGAGTGGAGGAGCACTGTGACCACATGTTCATCTGCTCATGCGTATTACAACTGTTTTCATCAAGTTATACCACCACACAAAGTAGTCCACCACTTGATTATTTTTGTGTTATTTCGGGGATGGTCGTGTTATTCGAAAAAGTTCCCTAAAAAAAAATCGTGCTATTGCGAAAACGTGTTAAGCGGGCATGTGTTAAATGAGTAATTACTGTACTTGATCTCAGCCTTGAATCGTCCGAAAACCAATTATTGGATGAGAGCCATTAACTCAGTCTGTAGATTGCCAGCTGAGTTCCTGTCCCTGACTGGTGAAACATGTTGCGTTGTGTTTTAGTTTCTATATTCTTGCCTTCAGTTTGTAACAAGGACTCTCCATGTACAATTAAGTGAAATATTGCCTTAGATTGCTTCCCTCCACACTCAAGAATAGCAATTTTCAGGAGCTCTGTGACTGGTCTGCAGTTAGCTTTTCCAGGTTGGGGGCTAGCTTCACTAGTATTAGCATCAGAGCAATCCCTTAGAATAGAGGCAAATAAGGGTGAATTGAATCTTTGCAAATATTATAGCTTGAGCTGGGGAGAAGATAAGAAGTGGCTCTTTGTGGTCATGGAGAAGTGATTTTGAATAAAGATTAGACTCCGCTGATGCCTGTAGAGCTGCTATGAATGCCCCTAGTATAAATTTTATTTGGCGATGAACAGAGCTCAATGATATTTCCTAAGAAGTTAGAATGAGTAATTGATGATAGGTCTGCTAGCTGTTAATTGATCTGGCAGCCAGTAACTTGATGAACCAGTGGAACAGAAGCTTTCCTATTCTTGGAGTGCTATCTTACGTATGCAGGAGTTTCCTTTATCTTCAGACTTGTGAACATTTTGTTGAGATTGTAATAACTTTTTCTTTCCCATGTATTTGTAACTAGGTTAACACTCCAACAAAGACCTATGGGATGGGAAAAGGTCGGGCAGCTGATCTGAAGTACATTGAAGCATGTGCTAGGCGGATTGTACAAAATTCAAATGGCTATAAGATCGTCACTGAGAAAAGCACAGTCCCAGTACGTGCAGCAGAGAGTATTCGTCGGATATTTGATGCCAATACAAAACCTAATTTGAATTTGCAGGTAAAAATAAAAACCTAGAAGTTGTGGGCTGAAGTATTTCCTCGTCCCCCACCCCCGATTCCTTGTTGTGCTTTACTTCAAACTTTATTTTCCTGTCTGTCTTTAGGTGTTGTCTAACCCAGAATTCCTAGCTGAAGGAACAGCTATCAAAGACCTAAAGAACCCAGACAGAGTCCTGATTGGGGGAGATGAGACTCCAGAGGGACAGAAGGCAGTCCATGCTCTCTGTGCTGTGTATGAGCACTGGGTACCCAAAGAAAAAATCCTCACAACCAATACTTGGTCCTCTGAGCTTTCCAAACTGGTTGGTATTTGTTGATTGCCACAGCAATACAACCACTTAAATACAAAATATCAGCACTAATGTTAGAATAAACCTCCAAGAGCTATAGCAACTCATTTTCTAAATGCTTATAAAAGGTTCCAGTGTTGCATATCACAATCATTTGTTTAGAACTTACTAGTTGGCTTTTCTGTATCAGAAAAGACCTTATCCAAAATCCGGTATATTTTGGGAATGAAATCATACATATTGAAAACAGCAGAAAATGGCAATATCGAGCAAAAACAAATCTGTGTACACATTGAAGTAATCCTCCCTCTTTTAAGATGCACCAAAAAAACAAAAAAACCCTTATCAAAAACCAGAATACTCTATTGGCTTACAGACATCTTATTTACAGAAGGAAAACCACCTCTGTTGTGTTTGTTTTTGTTGACAGGCAGCTAATGCTTTCCTTGCCCAAAGAATCAGCAGCATTAACTCAATCAGTGCTCTATGTGAAGCTACAGGAGCTGATGTTGAAGAGGTAGCAAGAGCCATTGGAATGGACCAAAGAATAGGAAATAAGTTTCTAAAGGCCAGTGTTGGTAAATGAAGAATCTTTTTGTCTTTTTTTTTTTTTTTTTTAAATTTTTACAATTGGTATGAGAGCTGTCTTTATCCAGCACAATGGTTTAACTGGAAACATTTAGAAATAAGTACTGGTATTCTAAAACAATAGTTCAAAGCATGACCACTTACAAAATACCTACTGACGTGGTGGTGGTTGTAATGTTGTTGTTTTTTATATTTAATGAAAGGGATTGGATTGTCCTCTCTAGAATCTCTCACTTCCAGTTGGTATGGACTAGTTAGGATGCTGAGCAGCCATCGATGAAGAAAGATTACAATTTTATCCTTCTAGAGCAGCAGTGGGCAACCTAGGCTAGTGAGTGGGCTGCATAAGTGGCCTTTATCTTAGTGGGTCACAAGATTGTCATAACCAAGATGGTCCCCCAGCAAAGAGTAGTTTTGCTAACAGTGCTTATTGTCCCTAGAATTTTCAGGGTGTGCTGATGGAACTGTAGCAGCACTTTGGATGCAGAGGGAGCACACAACTCTTACCATCAATCACCATGCACCTCAGTTCTTGTGGCCTTGCTTTACATGTGTGTCACTGTAATAATGCCATTAAGGAAGAGAAACTACAAAGATGGAAACAAGTGCAATCTGACAATCCTGCATGTGGGCAGCGGTAAACAAAATATGTTTCAGGCCACATATAAAACCCTAATGGGCTGCAGGCCACCCATGAACTGCAGGTTGCCCACCTTTTTTCTAGAGAATTCCCTAGTGGCTGGTTGATGAGTAGCTTTCTAATCTCTGTCTACACTGTAGTCTGCAGCATGAATTGTTTAGACTTAGGTACTGGAGATTGAGAGATGCCAGGGAAGGCATCAGTATGAACATTGTACCGCCCCAGTCTGAGTGGCCAAATATCCTGAGGCTCTTCCTTCGGGACACAAAACTTCATGGAGCATGCCCATTACTTGGATCAGTAGGAAGAGATGTGACCCCATTTATCTCCATATTAAAAATACTTAATTTTTAAAATTACTTTACCAAATGTTGTCTCTTCCACAAATGTTTAATAGAGAAATTGGCAAGAACCAAAATGTGTTATCCAAATATGACTGTTCAGATACCTTCCCATTGGACTTGGTAAAGGGGAGTCTGAGTGTTCTGGATCTTGCTACTCACTATTTTAACCCCCTCATCAGCTTTTTAGCTCTTCTTTGGATCCTGACCATGATAGTGTTTGAGAACCCAGAACCTTTTTAAAACTAGTTTACCTCTCATCTCTGGGTGTAGAGGTCCTTATGGGAAAAAGCAGCAGCTTTCTTGCGGTCAGTGGCAAAAGAATGTTAGGTCCTATAAGCTGCTAAAGTAAATAGGGTTGAAGAACAGGATTGGGAAGAACTTTGAGTGTAGCTGGTTAAAGAGATTGGCAGCATGGCACTGGAAAACATTCTGATATTTTGGTGTTCATTGCCAAATTTCAGGACTTGTAGAGTGCCATTTTTGAAGTGCCTGTATAGCCCCCCACATCACAATGTGTGTAGTTGCTAGTTTCAAGAGCAGTGTACACACTGCCACACATGCACACAGCAGGAAAACCAAGCAAAGAAACTGAACACCCTTGTCAGAAAGCGGCCTGCATCAGCTCCCTGGGGTATTACAGACATAAAGTGATTCCAAGTATTGCTAAGTATCAGAGGGGTAGCCGTGTTAGTCTGAATCTGCAAAAGCGGCAAGGAGTCTTGTGGCACCTTTATAGACTAACCGAAGTGTTGGAACATAAGCTTTTGTGGACAAAGACCCACTTCGTCGGATGTATCTGACGAAGTGGGTCTTTGCCCACAAAACCTTATGCTCCAACACTTCGGTTAGTTTATAAGGTGCCACAAGACTCCTCGCTGCTTTTGCAAGTATTGCTAAAGTCACTAATCTTTTACTGATGAAGACAATCTGTAGAGTAACCATTTCCTTTCTTTCAGGATTTGGTGGTAGCTGTTTTCAAAAGGATGTTCTGAATTTAGTGTACCTTTGTGAGGCTCTGAACTTGCCTGAGGTAGCTCGCTATTGGCAACAGGTATGAGTCCATTCACTGTGTAAAACTTAATATACAGGACACATCACTGTTCCCTCTGTAATGGGCCACTCATTCCTGTGCTTGTAACTTCAACATTGTCTATGGCAAATTATCATTTATCCTTCTGTTTGGCACTGAAAATAAAAACTAACTTAACTATCAAGATGATAAATATTTATTCCACTTGAGGCTGTAAGAGTACTTTATAAATGTAATGAGGTTCCGCATCCCAAAATAGGCATAGGTGGAAGGTGCTATTCAAAATATTTATTAATAAATACTATTCCTATGTTACGCTGAGGGCATAAATCCAATATCTGGCAGACCCATCCCAGGTAGTTTATTTGTGCTGCCATGGCTAAATATAGCAATATTGATTTCAGCAGGGGGCAGAGTATTTGGGTTTGAGGTAGATGTAACATTGCACTTCAGTTGAAAAAGTGATCTTGTGGTTAAAAAAGTTGGAGACCACTGCTGCAACCACTTTGTGCCTTAGAGTAAATGACTTGCCCAGCACAACACAGGAAGTTGTTGACTTGGGAACAGAACCTTGGTTTCCTAATGCCATATCTGTTTTTAGCCACAACCTCTCACCCGTGTCTACGTCCAGCATTAGTGAAGACAACTTATTTATTTAATACACTTTCAAATAATTCTAAACTTTTTTTTATAGAAAATCTCACAATAACTCATGTGTAGACTCCAGCACTTTATTGCTTTTAATTTGATAAAGACCCTCACTAGTCAATTTGATTAAGCAAAAGCGTAACAATATGGACTGTCAGGAGCTTCAGGGGGTAGCCGAGTTAGTATTTTTTTCTGTAACAGACAACAAATGGTCTAGTAGCACTTTATAGATTAACAAAACGTGTAGATCAGGGGTGTCCAAACTTTTTTCAAAGAGGGCCAGATTTGAAGAAGTGAACATGCGTGAGGGCCGTCCCCGCACTCTCAGCCCCAAGGCAGAGGGCCCGCAGGGTCGGAGGCGGGCAGAGAACGCAGGGCACGCCAGCCTCACGGCAGCCCGGGAGCAGGGCGAACCCGCAGCCGAGCAGGGGAGCGGGGCTGCGGACGTGCCCTACAGGGCAGGCTCTAGGACCGCGGAGGCCATGGGCGGCGGCGCGGCCGGAAGCGGCGCGCTGGGCGCGCCAGTTCAAAAGAGCGCCGGGGAGCCAGGAGAGGGGTAGGAAGCAGGGGCCATATTAAATCGGAACACGGGCCGCAATTGGCCCGCTGGCCGGACTTTGGACATGCCTGGTGTAGATGGTATCATGAGGATAGTGCATTGTGTTATCATGTGAGAGACAAGTTTCCAGGTCAGTGGCTACTAAGACTGGTTGTGTGCTGTGTACTTTTTAAAACATGTGGGTTGATTGTTACAGAACATCATAGGTAAAGAGGGCCTCATCTTATCATTGTCCTGAGTGTGTGAAACTGCAGGCGTTAATTGCATTAGGTGGATGATTTTAAAATGAGGGATAGTAGGGAAATGGTTAACACTCACTTGGAGCTTCATTTAACGACAAGTTGAGAAGAAAGGGACACATTTACACACATTGTTTCAACTTGTCTGGCTCAAGACAAAACAATCAGGTGTCACTGGGGTGAGTCTGACAAAGAAAGACAGAAAAAAAGGTCTTCCATTGACCTAGTTTACCACCTCTTGGGAAGGTGGATTACAGATGCTAATGGCAGAGCCCTGTTGTAGTGTTTCATCTGTAGACATGCCCATAGTGAGTGGAAACCCCCTAGAGTGATTGCAGCTACACCAATAGAAAGTTTGGTTTATCTTAAATTGATTAGGGATAGGTTTAAGATACATCAAAATAAATGGCTCTTAATTTAATTTGTCCGATAGCATGTTTTGTTAGTCTGTAAAGTGCTACCAGACCATTTGTTGTTTTTTTTTCTGTACAGACTAAATTGCTTCAGGGGGTAGCTGAGTTAATTTGTGTTCACATAGGTGTTTGCATGGCTTAAATTGGCTTAAATAAACCATACAAGTTTGTGTGTAGACAAAGCTGTTGATTCTGCAGGATGGGGCTATATCCTCCAGACATATCTCTACAACAGTAACACTCAGATCCTCAAAGGTAATTAGGTACAGAACTTTTATTGGGCCTAAAACATTAATCTTAAACCCTCCTATTAAGTGACTTTTCCTACTATCTCATCACCTCATTTCTTCCCCTTGGGCAAAGAGTAATTTACACACTACTTATAGAAAACCAGATCATTGCAAGTGACATTACTTTACCATTAACGTACATTTGCTGAGCAATTTATACCTGATGAGGACCATATGCCTCTGTGCATGTTTTGTTTGTTGCAATGAGAATGGGCTCATATTCAGGGAGGAGGGGAATAATTGCCTACATTATCTAAGATGTGTATGCCTTTGACCACAATCTCTGGGAAAACCTGGCTCTCTTACCTGGTCAGTAGAGACAATGGTCCTAAACAGAATAGGGATAAAAAACTAAAATGTTGGGAGGAGGGACAAAAAACTGCAGTGCTACAACAAAGGTGGAGAGCAACCTATATAGGCTTTAAGATCATTTCTCAAAAAGTAAGCATAAAAGTACACTGCCACTTACATCCATATCAGTCTTTGTGCATTGACATGTTACAGTATACACTAAACTGGTACATCTGTCAGGGATGGTGTAGGTGGAGCTTGGTCCTGCCTTGAGGGCGGGGGGCTGGACTCGATGACCTCTTGAGGTCCCTTCCAGTCCTATTATTCTATGATTCTATGATTCTAAAGCTGCCTGACTGTTGTGTAAAATAGATGTACTCAGTGCTTTTTCTGTTTTTTTTTTTAAAAAGTGCTGGTACTCCAGGGGAAAATGTATATTAATTTTATATCAATAAATATATGGCAATTTTTTGCAATTGCAGGAATAATTATATGTTTATGCAAAATCTCAGACTTACATAATATCTGAAATTTTCACAGAAGTGTGTTCTATTTGATTAACCGTGGTCTATACTTGTTTTTATTTCAACAAAACAAGTTATGGTATCCTACAAAATTAAAAAGTACCTTAAATTTATATTTAAATTATTTTATATGAGCAAATTACAATTTTACACATCAAATTATTGTATTATATTAAAACAAAATCTGAAAAATATTCTAAAATATATCTAAAACATAATCTATAAATAATTAGGACTTTCTGATAAGAGTACATTTTCTTTAGTGGCCCTGAAAGCTATCAGCTTTTGTTTGTGAGACCCTCAGCAGGCTTCGAGTTTGACATGCCTGATTTAAAGCAAGGTCAGGCTTTGGTTGTATGAGGAGGGAGGCTGGAGGGCCCCCCTCATTCATATGGGGAAACATTGCTGGCTGTTCCCCTTCATCAGGGAGCCTGGGGAAAGTGCACAGTTAGCTCCATTCCTCAAGCTGGCTTAGGAGATGGGTGAATCCACTGGAGTTACAGTGGTAATGAAGAGGCATTTCTCCCCTGGCCCCAAGCAGCTGCTGTGAGAGGGCTGGAGCAGTCCTCTCCCCCTGAGGCAGCCTGCACACCAAATCCCTCATCCCCATTCCCATTCCAAATCAATGATTTAAATGAAGAAAAACAAAAATTGAGTTAAGAATCCAAGCAATAACAGGTATATCTTCTAGTAATATATACATACAAGCATAAACCTAGTGGGAAGAGTAGTTTTGGCTCTGACATTATGCCCTCATTTTCTAAGCTAATTTTCTTCCTGGAATTTACCATTATGCTCTCTTCTGTTGCTTTCCATGAATTGGCCTTGAATAGTGACATATATGTATGGGGATTTTTTTGTTTGTTTTTTGAGGGGCAAAGGGTGATTTGGTTAATCTATATTGCACCGAAAGAAAAAGTGAAATAGCTTTTAAAAGTGAAATCAACCATTAAGAGCTGGGAAAAGCTTTCATACAATGGAGCAGCACCTGAAATTAGGACACAGATTTTCAAGATCCTTTGTTAAGCAGATGTTCACTGGAAGTTTTAGTGGGGCAAAATTTGGTTTCAGGTAGCTTCTGGATGTGAAATCATTTGAAAATATACACTGACTTCAATGGGCTCAGGATTAAGCCTGCTCTTTCTGCTACCATGATTAAAAAAGCTGGATTAGTCCATCAGTTACTTATATTTTTACCTATTAAAGTAGGAATTGCAACTATGTTAATATTTAAAGCATGTACATCCCTCTAGTTCAGTTTTAACTAAGTGCTTTTATCAGAAACAAGAGGCTTGGCAGTGACACTTTCTCCAGTAATTACTCATATTGCATGTCTCTGGTCAAGTGTAACCTCATTCATACATCCATATTCTGCATAATTTCAGGTGATAGACATGAATGACTACCAGAGAAGGAGATTCGCTTCCCGTATTATTGATAGCTTGTTTAACACGGTTACTGACAAGAAGATTGCTATTTTAGGATTTGCATTCAAAAAGGATACAGGAGATACAAGGTATAAAATGCATGAAACTAATTAACACTTTCCAGAATGACTTATGTAATCTTGGGCTCCATCTATTCAGCTACAACTACTTTGTTTATCACCAATTCAACTGTCCAGGTGGGAAGAGGATCAAATAGATGCCCTCAATATGTTGTGGCTGCAATGGTTTTATAAAATGGCTTGGGCTGTCTTAAGTGGGTGTACTTTAAAAAAACAACAAATAGTCTAGTAGCACTTTTAAGAACAACAAAACATATAGATGGTATCATGAGCTTTCGTGGGCAAAACCCACTTCTTCAGATGACAATGGCTGTGTTCAAATATAAAAATGACCTTTTACCCAATGCAAAAACCTAGACTAGAGGTAAGATAGTAAAGTGCTGAGGACAATATAAGTACTTAAGCAGAACACAGATTTTGAACCCAGTGTGAGCGAGCTAGATCCCTCCACTGTCCACAGTAAAGCATACAAACCATTTCTCTCTCTCCTTCCTTTATTGGTAACTTAAAAACAATTACACATCATAGACCTTAAACAAAATTTCTATGCCAAATTTGCCAAATTCTAAGGTTTTCCTATTTGGATCACCTCTGACTAAATTCTTTCTGTCTGAAAGATCTTTTTGCTTTAGAACCTGGTTGTTGGAGCTAATCAGATGTGCTTGCTGGTTTGACTCCTAATTATTCAAACCATAATGCAGGAGTCATCTAAACTCAGATTCTAGTGTCCTGTGTTTACTTACAGGCAGACAATCTATCATCCTTTTACACCCCACCTACTGTAGTATTGGGCACCATTTACACTGCTTGGCCAGATTCTACATTAAGTTCTGAATGAACCAGATTGTTTAAAAATATTTTTTTTAAAATCTTTTAGTACAATGAAGGCTTTCTCATTTGGTGGCTGGGACTAAAAATTTGTGTTTAATCCTTTTAAGCTACTCTCTTCCTCCTTTTTTTATGATTTACTTTCCTGTTCCCATGTGTTATCATTGGCCATTACATTTAATAATTTCATTTTGAAAGCTTTGGCACTGCACATTTCTGAGTATTGGTTCATGTTCTATATAAATCAAATGTTTCTCTGAAGACTTTCCTTAACTGGCTGACTTCTTTTCTTAGAGAGTCTTCCAGTATTTACATTAGCAAGTATTTAATGGATGAAGGAGCAAAGCTCCATATCTATGACCCTAAAGTACCAAGGGAACAGATAATCCTGGATCTCTCTCACCCAGGTGTCTCAGAAGATGACCAAGGTGAGAAAATTCTGCTTCTCATGAACTCAGTTTGTTGTGTGTTATCAGGCAGAATCCATCTTGCACCCTGGAAATTGTTTTCAGTGTGGCAGAGAGAAATGCTCAGTTAAATTATTAAATCGGGGTTTGCCTCCGTTAAAAAAGGGCACTGTCAACTTTTAACTTCATTCTTTGTAATTCTAAAATCCTTGCATTTGTGAAAGTTATCTCTGTGGCAGTCTGTCCCTTTTGATACATTAATCTTAAAGAGATGCAAAGAGAATCTCCTTCTTCAGTTCAAAAAGTAGGTGAGAAAGGGGAGGGAATGAGGAAGGAAACTAGTTTTATTCTATCCATTCTTTCTCCACTTCCAGGTTCCTACCCCGTACCTGTTGAGTCTTGTGCCAGGATAGTCCAGCTACCTGGCTCGTCCAGAAAATAACTCTCTAATTCTCTGAAAGCTAATGTTGTATACTTTTGGGGATTGTAGTACATCAAATCCACACAAGGAGCATTTTGCTACTGTATTATACTGGTACAGCTATACCAACGAAGGACTCCTAGTGTAGATCTGGTCTGTCTTGAATGCCCCAACAGAAAATAAAGAATACCGGGGGATGGGTGGATGGGGGACACTCAGAGACCTTGGCAAGAAGAAAGGGGAGTGATGGTACACACAGGAGCTTATGAAGGAATGCATGAAGCCACTAGAATGTGCAGTAAGCTCAGCTAATAGAGACCATGTGGCATTTATACCGTATTAAATAGTAAATGTGCCTAGACTGTTGTGAAAAGTTTGTGTTTGGGAAGGGCTAGCAGGAAAATTGTCTGGTCAGAGTACACATTAGACTGAGTGCTGCCAGGAAAGGGGAAGCATAATCTTCATTTTTTTTCTGCTGCAGTTTCTCGGCTAGTCACTATTACTAAAGATCCATATGAAGCCTGTGATGGAGCTCATGCCCTTGTGATCTGCACTGAGTGGGACATGTTTAAGGTAAAAATAATACCTTTTTTAAAAACAGGAAAAAATTGAGGCATTCTTACACTTATGGAAATTCTGTGGGGGCATTTACAGGAGCTGGATTATGAGCGCATTCACAAAAAAATGCTGAAACCAGCTTTCATCTTTGATGGTAGGAGAGTTCTTGATGATCTTCATAATGAGCTACAAGTCATCGGCTTTCAGGTAACTAGCTGTTTCTCCTTTTGGAAATGTATGATTAGAATCTTCTTGTGATTCAACGTGTGCTTAATACCTTGCTTTATAGTTAACCTGTAAAAATCCTTTTATTAAAGATTTTCTACTGTATTATATTGGTACAGCTATACCTTAAAATCCTTTTATTAATCTTGACTGACAGCACTTTTCCTACAGTACTGTTCTGATAGTAAACTGATACTGCTTTAAAATCCAAACCATATCAAGCTGTTCCATCAGTATTCAGTAATGTACATAAATGAGTTTACTAGACATAGTCTACTCTAGCACTTTTGTCAGCAAAACTTTTACTGGTCGAAGTATGAAAAAAACACACCTCTGACTGACATAAGTTTCACTGATTAAAAACGCTGAGATGGACAGTACTACGTTGGTGGGAGATACTCTCCCACTGTCATAGTTACTGCTGCTCATTGTGTGTGGTTTAATTATGTGGATATGAGAGAGCTCTTCCACAGCTACACAGGAAACCTTGCAGCAGTGCTGCAGTTGCAGCAGTACAGCTATGCTGCCAAAAGGTCAATAATGAAGACATAGCGTTAACTGATGCTGCCAGAGTACCAGGATGCCTAATATTAAAATTTGTGTGAACGATATCTCATGTATTTTATCACTTCCAGGCTCAATTAAATTCTAAATGAGACCTAGAAACCAAATTAGTCAAGCCTTATAGCTGAATGTTTTGTTTACTAAATGCTGAAGTGTACAAATCTGACACAGTTGGTACACAGTTGTCTAAATAACTTGATTTATTTCAGAATGTACTAATATACCAATGGTTAGTTTGAAAACTGAAATTATCCATCATCGATTGTCTAGCACAGTGCTATTATTCCATTTTGTCATGTGGTTATTGTTGGAGTGTTCCCTGCTCTAGTAGTTAGTTTTTTTTTTTTTTTTTTCCTAAACTACACAGAGGAGTTCTTGTTCAAGAGGTAAAGATACACCTCAATTATTCAATGGTGGGGTCTCTGATCTAGTCTGTCCTTAAGCAGAATTAGTTGGACCTAATTCTCTCCTAACACCAGTGTAGCTGAGAACAAATATGTTGACGTCTATTGAATTAAGTGGTCATTTGAGGAAAATCAGGCTCACCATACGGAAATACCAATGATGATGCCTCCAAACTTCCTGACTAGTTAAAACAGGTTGAAAACTCTTAGCTTTGAAGGGGGCGTCTCTGTGTGTAAAATTTTTAAAAGTCAAATATCATCCATCATTTGTGTTTAAAATTAAAATTTTAACATAGAGGTTGGAAACTCTTAAGCACCCACTTCTTATTTCTCATATAAGCAGTCACATTGAAACCAATGAACATTCAATTGCTTAGCATTAAGCACATAGCTAAATGTTTCCAGGACTGAGGTGTGTCTTTACTGTAACAATTTTTAAAAAGCTTGTTTTGCATGTGCAATATGAGAGAGCACTTTTAGTAGACAAACTGAACTAAAAATACAGCCATTTAATGTGGCTTTTATCCACTGAATGCATATAAGAAGTGTGGGCAAAGCCCCAAGTTTACTGGTTCCTGACAGGCTGACAAGATTCTCTTTGCACAAACTTTACATAGTATTTTTTTTTCCTCCTCCAGATTGAAACAATTGGGAAGAAAGTGTCTGCAAAAAGGATTCCTTTTGCTTCTTCATGTGAAATTCCAAAGTTCAGCCTGCAAGATCCACCTGTCAAAAAACCCAGAGTATAAGTTTTAATAGGTACTTAAGAATCACCGTGGACCAGTGTGAATTTTTAAAAGAGCATACTGTTCTTAATCTGTAAACCTATTTTACATTAGAGATGATAGCAGTGTACTAGGTACATGTGAACCCAGAATCTATTTTCTAATCTCTCTATTTTTGAAATTATTGTATTTTTTTCGGTTCTTGAAGACTATACGAGCCTGACTGGTTTTACTAATCAATTTTTATGAACATTTACTTCAGTCAGCGAACTTTTGCTTTTAGAAATACTCACAAACTGCACTTTAAATTTTATAAACAACATAAAGGCCAAATGTAATTGACAGAATTGTTCTTACTTTGATCCAGGAATAAGTGGTACTCAGTAGTGTCATTTTCTTTGCTGAAGATTTTAATTTGATTTGGTATAATTTTGTTTTCCTTGTTGCCTGATCTAACTCATGTGAAAGTCGGTGGAAAGATTGTAATTGACTTTTATCAGTGTTGGATTGAGCCATTAAACAGAGTATAGATCTGGTTTTAACAATGAGGCCACAATCCTGATTGGGACCTCTGGGCATCAATGCAATATAATAATTAATAATTGTATCGGGGAGCTAGATCCCCATCTGCCATTAATTCTGTAATGGGCTTGCAACAATAATGTGACCTATCAGATATGTCTCTACTGATTCCTTGGTCTTGGCTCTATTATATGTACTGTATAGCATTTGTTGTCATTTGTAAATTATGGATTTAATTCGATCTTTTGGTCCAAATTCTCCTGTTACAGTGTTACCACCCCAGTGTCTTAAACAAAGAGAAGCATTGGCCCTTTTGCTTTCCCTTCTTGCTGAACACTGATTGAAATGTTCCCTTTCAAGGTGATGGGTACTCAGTGGTCCTTTTCTCCCCTTCCTGCAACCATATATGAGCTGGAAGCAGATATTCTTCCCACTGAATCTGCAAGAATTTTCCCATGACACTTTTAAGAGTATCTAAAAACCATAAAGTAGTTCGC